AAAAACATGAACCAGAATGGGAGCCTCTTGGTCCACGCAGATCTGCGCCTCCGCATCCTTCCATGCAGCATCAGATCCCTTCCCAGCGAGCCTACCTCGGCTCCGAAACCATGCAGAAGTTGCCCCATTGCGCAGAAAATGGCGGCAGTCATGTTGAACAAAATGAGGAGGGCCAGGCCATTATAAACCACCCTGACCGTCCCCAGAATCGTATTCTTTGTTGTCTCATCGATTTTCAGCATCCAAGCCAGCCACCCGAGTAGGGTAACCATGAGTTCCCCAAACCAATGGATGCCAATGCCCAGGAATCGCACACTCCGTCCGACAGTGCCAGCCAACGCCGCCATGATGGCAGCTCCTTCCATGGGCGTTCCAGGGAAAATCATACTCATATCGCACCTCGCCATCGAGGCCTCCACCAGAACCGTACGTCGCAACTCCCTCCTAGTGTCCACCGTTGCGCGTACCGGCCGATCGGCACCTCCGTAGGGTGCTACGGCACTCCAGCACCAGCGACTGCGCCCGCCTTGCGTAATGCGCAGCCCTCAGACACTCCGGAATCCACGTGCACCGGACTCACCACTCAGCGGGAGTGTGAGATACGCCACAGGGCCCCGGGGCTCCTTAGGCCGGCTTACGGACGCTCGGGTACCGCAAGGGGGCAAGGCCAGTGATTGGCCGAGTCGGTCGGGGGGCTGTGGCGCGGTGGCGGGATCGTACAGGCGGCTGGGAGTCCCAGCCCGGGACACGGTTCGTGTGGTGTAAAGCACAGGGGGTAGTATGTTTCTCTAGTAATTGGGTTACGGGGAGGTTAAAGTACAATGAACAATGCGGTTGAATATCTCATATAAAAGTAGAGTCCATTAGGAGCTCATAGGTTCTTGAACCACCTCCATTGGGTTAGCGGTAGAGGAGTTATGGTTAGATATATTACCAGTACTTTAGACTCCATCGCCGGAACCGTATTGGGGGATGAGATACAATCGCATGGGCCTGTACGCTGCATTGTCACGTGATCCGGGCGGAGTCCACCCCCTCAAAGGGGCGACCTCCTGTCAGACTGTAATTCTCCATTCTCTCGCCCACTCCGTGCACCCCGCGGCTGCACCCGCGAGCTGCACGGCGCCGCGCATCCACAGCGCGCCCGGCCGCCCTGCGCCCGGCCATCCGCAGGCCTGGGCCCACACTGCGCACCCCGAAGGAGCGAGCGCCCCGGACAGCCCGCCGGTCATCCGGCGGAGGAGGCCCATCCGGGCCGATTGGGCGCCGCGGCGGGAGCCTCGCCCGCAACAACCGAAAACCACGCCAGTTCGTCACACAGGGGCCTGCCGGAGAGCTGTCGGGACAGACTCCCCGCGGCTATTTATTACAGGATCGTCTTTCGGGTACAACTGGCAACCATGCGTTCACTCCTTCTCGTCATGTCTCCCCGTTCACTCATCCAACCGGACACGACACGACCCAATCACCCCAAGGTTCCAGTACAGATCGACCCGTTCGTTCACACGACAGCCAGGACATCCCAACGATCATTCTCCGCCAAGGAACTCCTCGGACAACTCCAACCACGCCAGCTGGCTTCAGGTGGCCGCCACCCATCGCGTCATCTGCCAGCCGGACGCCGCCTTGTCACTGTCTTCGACATGTCTACCGACTTTCCGTAGACCGCGCCCCCTGGCCTCCGAAACCCGGCGGTGGGGATGGCGTCATTGCCCTCGCGTTGTCAGTCCCATCAAATCCGGGTGGCAGGGCAGGTGTCGTCATCGTGGAGGTGCCAAGGGTTGCCGGTACAGTCGGTGGCTCATCAGTGGGCGCATCCTCCACAACGTCATCTCGGACTGTTCCACGCAGCCGCGCCTCCCGTCGCTGACGTCGGATGGCCCTCCGCCAGGCCCGCTCCTCCGCGCGCAGCTCCACGGCTGTATACGGCTCCTTGCCAGCATTGAGGCGTCAAGCCACGATCGCGCTGGCTTCCACGAAGGCAGCGGAGGGCAGTACGGCTGCGTTGGGTTCCGTTTGCACACCGAACTCCCTTCGATCACGGACGAAGATCTCAGACGCGCTGGACGGTTGCGTGGCCGCGTACTCACGGCGGGTGACGCCTCCACCCTCCATGCGCCAGCAGCGCTCATCGGAGTGCGGCACGCTGATGTCAAGGCTCACATGTACCTGGCGATAGTAAAAGTTGATCTCCGCACCGCGCTAGGCATGGATCCGTCCGCCTTCACGCTCAATCATCGCCGCGATGCGTTGCCGGAACGCCTGCGTACCCATGCCGGTGTACAGCCGATGCGGATGGGGATACACCTGGAGTGCCCAGGGGCGGTACACGGCCTCGGGCTTGTAGGCAGGGTTCCAGTCCGGCTTCTCCCCAGCTCCAGGCAGATGTCCTGACGTCAATTGCGTTGACACGGTGCGGCAGTACGCCTCGCGCGCCTCCTCTTGCAGCCGATACCTCAGTGAGTCTTCCCCATGATCTCGTTGGTGATGCAGCCACGGCACGTCCTCGTCGCTGAACGGCAAGACTACCGTAAGCCCAAAACTCCAGTATCCTGGAGGGCAGTCAGACTTCTCGAGGTACCACCTCGAGAGCCAGAGGTCGCCGAAAGCGAGCCACTGGGCGATCAGAAAGCGCCAGCTTTTGACCTGGCGGAATCGCGTTGCTGTCATGGCTACCGGGAAACCGCCAACCAGCTGCTGGGCAGTGGGACTGGGAGGCGGGGCTCGCTGTGCAGGATGGTCAGACTACAGGGGAGCGCTGCTGTGCGCTTTTGCCGTTTTGGAGGTCTTGGATGATGTTCAGATGTCGGACTGGTCGCTTGGCGGCTTGTGGGTGTGTGAAAGGATGTCGTCATCCCATGCTGGGCGTCAAAGTTGGACGGAACCGTGCATGCTGATGCGTAGTCAGCCACGTAGGGCATGATAGCTGTACAATGGAGCTGATGCTGGAGTTGTAGTCGCAGAGCGGCTTGATCTTGTACAGTTCTGGTCGGATTGTAACTTTTTGATCGCTCCTCATGCTGCTGCTGTGTCCAGCTGTAAGATGCATTGGGTGTGGTAGCTAATGTCGGTCGGCTGGTGGTGCTGGAAATGTTGCCTGCTGATGCTTGGAAGATGAAGTTGATGGAGACGTTTGCCATGTCATTTATGGCCTAGAAATGGCCAACTTCAACAAGTCCTAAATCGAAACACTGTGTTGGGAGAACTGTCGATTCGAGCGTGTGTTGAGCTCATGCCTCTGTTTGCCCACTTTCCACCCATTCTGCTGCTGGTCAGCAAAGGTACAGGTTTGTGGCTACAGTCCAATGGGAGAGGTTGAGGCAAACAACGCTACGCAAAGGATGGAGTTCGTGCAGCTCGTTGTGGCAAAGATTGCCAATCCCCCAAGCTCCTGTCCACAGGAAGTGCAGAACTTCCTGCACGCAGGAAAGAAGGGTCTCCTTTGGCGACTTGGCAACATATCAGCTCATTCTCCTCCAATTTCACATGAAACTAAAGCTGACATAACTGTGCCTCTATTCTTGACCAACTGAAGCATCGCCAAAGCTGGTCTGAACAGGGAATAATCGACAATCTCTGCTCAGTCTGCGAGCAGGTGCCTGTTCTTTTAGGGTATGGGTGCGTTTCTGAGGCAACAAGCACCTGAACTGGATGGCGACCAAGAGAGGGCATTGCATGTGCCAGCTGCTGTTGATTGTTTGCACACATGACCACATCATCTTCACGGGTATGGCAACCCACTGGCCACGGAAGCGCTCGCAAAGTGATAAAGAATGGTTCATGTCACTGGAAACATACTAAATGTGCAGAGAACCAGGCAACAAGAGTACCAACAGGACTCTGATCGGTGAAAGAAATTCCATTTGAGGTGAATCATGGAGACAAAGCCACCAGGCAACACATTTATCAACCTAATTTACAGAACACCAACGGTAACATAGCTTGCTGTCGAATCCCCAAACTGTCACCATTGATGCGTAATCAAACACTCCATCGATGGCAACACAGGAAGGTTAAGACATCGCCAGTGTGCCCCACTATCTGCATCTAACTTCTGAAGGCTATGCTGTGGTACTCCATTGGCATCCACATCGGCGTCCACATCGGCCTGCAACATAATTGTTTGTGCAACTCAGGCGCCATTGACAAAACCTAAAGAAACCAAATGTCATTGTGGGCTGCTCTGGGCCCAAAGGATGGCTGTCAAAGGGTACTTGTGGACAACGAGGTCTGTGCACTTGTAGATCCTTTTGATATTAACAACCAGTCTGAGTGGTGAACAAATGAATATGATGCACAGCCAAAAACCCACCTGGATGAAATCCCGACAGGGGGCATTACTGGTAGTTGCAGGCGCAAGCAGTCGTGGCACGTCACATTATGATGGTCATCAATTGAAGACACGGTATGGTATCCCTGCCTCTGCTTGTGCTGTAGAATCAAAAGTTTGGAACAAAGTTATGCGTCTCAGCTTGGCAGCCTTGCAGTGTGGCCCGACGAAACAGCAACCGGTGTGCACCTGATGGCCTCTCAGGGGCAGCAGGGACTGCTCGAAACAGACCCAATGGACTGTACGTCCACTTAGGCATCAACCAGGCAACCACATCCCCCTCAGCACGGCACCTCAAACGCTCGGAATAGTGAAAATTTTGACCGAGTGCTACGGCGTTCTTCTTGCAAGCGTGCTGAGCGTTCGCCAATCGTCCCCACCTTCCTGCTTTTTGTGCAGTACACGTACAGCCTCCCCTTCCTCCGTACTACGCGACAAAAGTCGCATATCTTCTTGATAGAGGCGCGGACTTTCATCCCGCGTTGTGCCCTCCTCGAACGTGAAGTGGAAAGCCCACGCTTGCCACCTTGTGGATCATTTAGCGCAGATTTTCGTTGCGAAATCTGCGTGCATTATTGGATTTTGGGAGGTCAAGAGCCCGGATAGTTGGCCACTCAATGCAGGTGAAGCGGGGTCGCAGGCTGATCGCCAACAGTGAGAAGCTGTCAGGATGAAACACGGGTTGGGCTACAGGAAGCTCAGCCGCAAGACGTCGCATAGATGGGCTATGCTCAGGTTGGTCACCTTGCGTTGCCAAGCATCACTGCATCCCAGCGGTGTTCCAGAATACAGCTGGCCGATGGACGCTGGGTTCAGCGTCAACCGGTTGCGCAATGTTTCGATGACGGCTGTCATCGGACGCTGATCTTGTTGCAATGCTCGGCCACCGTGAACGGATTTTGTTGGCAGGACATTGGTGACCCAGCTCATAAAGCATGAGAGGATACAGACCACTTTGCCCAAGGCCAAGGAGCTGAGGAGGCTGGCGGACAAAATGGTGACTCTTGGAAAACAGGTACAGCGCTTGATCGTTGCCAGTCCTGCTCCAATTTGCTGTGTTGCTGTGATTCATTTTCAGGACACCCGCTCAATCAGCTGTGGACGTGGTGCTCAGCACACTTCATCTTGTGGAGAATGTGCTACACTGCGTTTGAATCCTGAATCATACTTTCAGAAAGGTCCCAGACAGGCCAAAGAACTAAAAGATAGTCAGTGGGGCGGCCATCGTTGTTGTTCCGTTATCTGTTTGGTACTTTGCTGCAGGGCACACTGCATGCCCAACGTCAGGCATCTGCTGTCATCCGGGAGGATGTGGCAAAGCGAAAACTTTTCACAGAGTTTGCGGAGCGGTACAGATTTCGTGAAGGGGGGTACACTCGAATTATGAGAAGTGAAAGGAGAATCAACGATGCTGCCCAGATGGCTTTCATAGAGTGAGTCGTTTGCTGCCACACCCAACCTGCACATGCATGAATTGCACTGTTACAAAAGGTGCTGGGGAATCGACCAAGTTGGGGCGTGGAGGCTTTTGCCAGCAGAATCTTGTGTAAAGCAAGTTGAAATTCGTTGTATGGTCACTTGCAGTGCCCTACATTCCTATAGATCTTTGCCTTTTTAGGTTGTCCAGTAGGCAGTCGATTTCTTCAAGCATCGCACAGCTCCAGGTCTTCCCTGGCGTTTCATCCTCCGCTGAATGTGCTGCACGAGTTTCCGCAAACATGCTGGCGATCCGTCTTGAGCTCAACAACCTCACATGGTATGGCATCTGGACACACTCAGATGGTAGTTGAATCACTAGCGTACACTGTTGGTGTTCATTCAAAATGTGGCAAAACATTGATTGCAAATGTGTCCATGACACGAACATGTGCCATTAAGATCACGATTGAGCATCAATGCACGAAACAGGACCACCAGTGCCTCAAATTCCCTGTGTGTAAATTTGGGCTGTATGCACAGGTATGTGGATCGTGAGGGGGAGCTGCGGCCAGCCCGGCCAACAAAACATTCTTTTCCAACATTTGCATCGCAGGCTGTAGCATAGGCTGTCGAGTTAGTTTGAATTTGGGTGTGCCTTGCTCAACACACCTTAGCTTGAAAGCAAGAGTCTTGTTGGCTGGTCCACAATGTAATTGCACATGGTGATGCTGGGATGGAGGCTGTGCTTTGCATATGCATCTTTCAGGAACTCAGATGCATACTAGATGCAAGCAAAGATACCTTGGTGGCTCAAGGATCTGAAGGCCGACTGCCTGCTTTATGTGTCAAACTTGTGTGTCCAATGTTATTCCAGTTTGAAAGGCGCCTGAATATTGTGACGCCTTGGGCTTGATGTTGAGAAGAGGGCAACAGGGGTGCCTAATGGGATCCAGAAGCTTCTGCTAGTCTCACTATTGCAGCAGCATTTCAGCTGAAACCTGTCAAATGGTTCAAATGTACCACCATCTCAGAGATGGGAAATCAATCTTCTACTGCTCAACAGCTGGCAAGGAATTGTCCAAACCCTATCTGGGCCAAAACCATGCCTGATAGGTTTGTATCATAGGTACGACAGGTGTGACCGCGCATGAATGGGCATAGTTTTGTCGAATTTTGTCAAAAGTTGTGAAGCAGATGGTCGCATGGTTCAGGTGTTCAGGGCCCAGGGCTCAAGGCCCAGATGGCCTCTCACACGCATCCCCTCAACTCAAAAGAACGTGCTACTGTTTTGTTCATCCAAGTGAGCAAAACCTTCAACGTGTCAACGCCTGAACGAGCTCTAATGGGCCGCCTACACGCCCAACGTTCCCCCGTTTCCAAGGGGCCACCAGTCGCCAGCCCTTGTGGATGCACATGCCACTCCAAACGGACTCCACGTCACAAGTGCGATAAAGTATGAGCCCTCACCCCCAAACCCCAACCCTCCACCTCCTAATCCCCCCCCCCTCAATCACAACATTCCGCAGACATTTTTTGTACAAACAACAATGCGGGGCCCGGTTGGTGAACACATAAACTCTGGCGGCGCCCGAACAAAATATTGAAGCAAGAGAGAAGAAACCTGGTTTTCAATGTCAACTACTGCTATTCTGACAGCACAAGTTATTCATTTGGTCCTGCGAAATTGCATAAACTGCAGATGTGAAATTTCTGAACCGCTGGACCAGGAATCATTGCAAACTGAAATGGTGGAAAAAACGAGAAAACAAGACACTGAGAACTTCATGGAAGCTACAGAACCTCCACTGCCAGATTCCTGGTTGCCAAGATAGTCTGACAAAGTTTTCACCTCTAAACATATGCGCCAGCGTGGCTGCGTTTTCAAGCAAATATGCTGGATTCATCACACGTTTTAAGGCACCAGGTCATCTCAGGAATAGCAAAAGTGTGAGGAAAGACGCCTCTTGTGAGCGCTCTGACAGGCCAGATGATTTATTGCAGTTCCCGTTCGCCCAGCCTTTCGTGCATGCTCAGACAGTGGTCTCCAAGGTCAGTGTTTTCCTCGGAACGATCAATCTTTTTCTTTTCTTTGTTTTTGCTTGCATTTTGTTTCTTGTTTGCAGTGGCCGCTTACGAGGTCCATCCCGCCCGTTGAATCCTGTGCTTGAAATGGAGACCGATAGCTAGCCATTCGCCGTACATGACCCAGCCGGTCAGACGCTGATGTTTATGGGATGTGGCGAACAGCACAACCCTGCTACCCCCACCTTCCCACATGCTCGATAAATTGGGAATTTAGTGCATGCAGCCCTCGTTTCGATGCGAGGAGTAATCCTGCTCTGTCCCTTCTTCCACCCCCGAGCTGCTGTGGACGCTGTTCCATTGCACACAACGCTCAGCGCGCACGGCGGCTGCGGCTGCTGCCATGATCAACTTCCAGGTCGTCATCTTGGCCTGCTCTGACGGGCGGCAGCTCTACCCCCTCACGTTGGGGGGCGCGGTGGAGTGCTTGCTGCCCGTCGGGCTGAGGCCCGCCCTGTCATATCCGCTCCAGGTCGTCCAGGATGCCGGACTTTCGGACGCCATTGTAGTGAGTGCTGCTCTAAAACCTTTGATTGATATTGCGCGCACAGGGCGAAACACGTCCTGTGCACAATGCAGATGATTCTTTGTGATTGCATATCCGCACAACGTTCGGTTCATTCCCCCTTTTTGATGGCGTCTTTTAAAATGATGGTTCTGATCCAGGCTGGTTGCCGTTGGAATTGACTATCTTTGCCCCATATGCCGTGTTCTGGGATATGGGCCGGATTTCGCGTGAAGACACCAGCAACTGCAGGCATTTGCTGGGGATTAGGGAGCAGAGTCGAGACTGACCATTCATGGTGGCTGGATTCTGCCAGTTTTTGCTTTGTGTTAAGATATTCAGTTCATGTTGGGTTTGGAGGGGAATGGTTGTGATTCATAATTGTTGCCTGGTTGTGGACGGCCAAGACTCTATTCTGCTGCAAAATGTTTGATTTCATGTACCAAGATGGCACACACAATGTGCTTGGATCGGCAGGGGGATGATGGGATTTATTGCAGCAACTTGGGATGCTCTTGACTGTTGCTAATATGCCCACAGTCTGAATACCAAAAAGTAGAGAAAAGGAGAAAGTGGGGGCCTATATCTCACAGCACAAATGAGCTAAGCTGCGCCCTCAGTGCTTTGTTATAGGTTGTTGCAGGTGAACAAGCAGCCAGCAGCGTGAAATCATGGCTTGCACAACAGCAGGCCCCAAGCGGCATTCATTGCAAGGTGTGCCCGGGTGCAATGATGATGAGCACTGACTGTCAATGTTGGCTTGTGAAGAATGTCGATCCAGTATACATCCATTGTAAACATGCTTCCACGCACAATGACACCCTAATGAATGGAAGCATGCAGTCATGCACCCATGTAGTGGTGGCCATCTTGCAGTTGATGGAACAGAGCCCTCATAACTTTTCATTTGAGAGGGGTTTTGTTTGACCCGTTTTCTGGTTTGTCCTGTTGTCTGTGTTCTATGAACCACTTGGCTGCCATGCATACATGACTTTGAGCGGCCCTGTGTAAGCCATTCGGGCAATATCTTGTCTTTGCCAGAAGCTCTATCCAAGTGGAATTTCCTACAAATGCACGTGCCATGACAGTTTGGTGAATTAGGCATGCATGTAAAACGTGAGTGTTCATCGCACAGGTCATCACAATCCCTGAAGGTGGCAACGATATCGATGGGCTGGCAGCTGCGTTGGCTGCAGTTACAACAGATATTGTTGTGGTGATGGACACTGGCGTCATCACGGATGTATCCCTGAGGGCCTTGGTCTGCTCTCACTATGTCGGGTCGGCTGTGGCTACTGTCGCGCTTATCAAGCGCAAAGCCAGTGCATCCAAAAACACAAAGCCCGGGAAAGCCCCAAAGGTAAGCCTTTCCAACCTGCTAGCCCATTTGACAGTGGACTACTGCAACAGATGGTGCCTCTAAGAAGCACGGTTGCCATGTTTTTCAACTTTGCTGGCTGTTATTTTTTCACTACTTCCAGTGCGAGAGTTTGTCTCAAGTGTGTATCTATAACTTCTGGCAGCAGAGTCTTGGCTGATGTGTGTTGTGGCAGCACGATTTGTTGCTTGTGTCTGCACTGAGGAGCTTTACATTCTGATCGTATAATTCTTTTTGCACATCTGCCTAACATTGCCAAAGGCAGGAGTGGCAACAGTCCTCTGCAAAACCACAGATGAGGCAATCTGTGTGCACAACTCCTAAAAAGCCTTTCTAATCAAACAGTTGTTGCTGTTGCTGATTTTCAACAGCAACGTGTAACAGCAACGTGGTCCAGTAGTGTCTTTCCCAGACCGTTGTATTATTCTGCACTGCAGCACGTGGATTACACAGCTGTGGACGATGTTCACTCCAGGCTACTGTTCTATGCGAGCGAACCTGAAGCTTTGAAGGACGTTCAGGTTCCAAGAAGTGTGCTGAAGCATTCCATGAAATTGTCAATCACCACCGACTACATTGACACCCATCTGTATGTCTTCTCCAGGTGAGGCATCCCCCGTACTCATGTGCAGAATTGGGCTTTCGCTATGCTCTTGTCGTTCACATGCATCCTGGTTAATGTTGCTGTTGTTGCTGGTGACATGGTGTGGCAGTACTCGCATGTCATGCCACTGCTCCACACAAGAGTAACGACACTCTTTTGTCCAAGTATCAGTGCCCGACAAGTGACTGCAAGTGTTATGAAACTGAACAAGTGTCCAATAACTGTACCGTTGCTGGATTGAGTGCAAGCTTTCAGTGGGTGAACTGAATTCCAGCCAGAGTTATGAACTTACAAAAAGTCAATACAAACTCCAGGCGTGCCACATGACTACCATTTAGACCATGACGCAATAGCTGTACTATTCCTCAACTCATAGTCCGTGTTATTGACTCAGTGCCACATGACTCGCATGTGGACCATGACACCGTTTTCGTGCCAATCCTCAGCTCAAGGCCAGTGTTATTGACTCAGTGAACTGGGTGCAAGTGTGCATTTTAACATTTTGCCTGCAGGAAATTTGGATGCAGAAATTGGATGTTGCATTGTATTTTATAGCGGGGACAACATATTGTACTTTGTCGAATGCCCTCCTATCAAGATTGTGTTGGCCTCTTTTTCCATTTTGCAGCAATGTAGGAGGCGCCAATCACAAAAAGGAAGCAAAGGCAAGGAGCACGCATGAAGGCAATTGGATTCCTGTGATCTTTTTGAAGCAAAACGCGTCCATTGCCCTGCCCTGATGCTCCAGTTGGAATGCCACAGTGCCTCTGAACGCAGACACTTACAGGAGCCTCACTGCATACATGCTATGCCACAGGCCAGTGTTTTCTGTCCTGGAAGGAAAGTCGAACATGCAGAGCGTCCAGCGCGACCTGCTGCCATTCCTGGTCAGGCACCAATTTGTTGTGCCGTTGAAGGAAGAGCAAGCCCGTGCCAGCAGCAAGCTGGCACCATCAAGCTCAGAACAAGGCAAGGTTCCCCATAAATATCAGGAAATGTGGTCATTTTTCAGCAGAGAGCCATTGTCAGAAGATGTGTTGAGCTGATGGCCAACAGTAGGGCAGCATGATACCGGCAAGCAGATTCCAATTTTCCATGTGTTCCATGGCTTAATTGTCCTCAGTTTCCATCCCCTCTCTTATCCACATCGGCATCCATGACCATCAGAATGTCATTCGGGTGGTTGTTCTTATTTGAGGACGTGGTGCATGCCGATGGCAGATGTTGAGTTCAAAGCACGGCTGCACGCGCTATGCAACTGCTGACTTGAGCTGAAGGCCCAAGATGAGCAGTTTCAGAGACACGTTTGGGCAACAGGCGATGTGCTCTCAGATCCGCATGCCTTGGAAATTGGAATTTCTGCTTTCCTGCCGCAATATGGACAAACTCTCGGATACTGTGGAAATCGAGGATTGCAATGGTGACGTGTGCTTTTGTGACAGCATGGAAGGTAATTGTGCTTCTGTGGCTGAGGAAGCAATTTGCCGGGTTGGTGTTGAAAACGACAAAATAACAAAATCTATTTTTTATCTTTCTGACTTTATTGTGACCAATGTCCACCAGGCACAAACGGAGATACCAATGGGGATCTCAGGCATGGCGAATTTCACCTTGATACCTTCATGATTGAGGGTGGAGAGTACTGTGCACGAATCCGGTCGGTGCAGACATATGCCGACATGAACAAGGAGGCAAGTCCACCCACTGCGAATGTGCCCTGCATACCGGCGTTTCCTCCTCAAGACTGAGCCCCCCCTGCCATGTGCTTTACCGCATCTGTTGGTGGGGTGCTGCTTCACAGTGTGCCAGCGTATGGGCCTCAATATTCGTGTGGTTTTGTGCAGCTTGCCTCCCCCGAGCTGTGCTCCAGGCTTGTGGGGGTGCAGTCCACGAAACAGGATAGCTACGTGCACCAGACCGTTGAACTGGGAAACAAGGCGACGGTGAGGCCATGTGGGACCTGCGGTTTGTTGATACGGCTCACAAATGAGTGGAAGCATCTCTGCGCTGTTCTATTGTTTTCAGGTCCCTCTGTATGCTGTTGGGAGACGCCACCAAACGGTGGCTTTTCGCCAATGATATGAGTGTCTCGTATGTGCTGGTGATGTGAGTCACGAGCTCTCAAGGACTCTTTTGCCTCGATATCACAGATGCTAGCAATCGCTTCATACCTCTGCCGCAGGTGCATACTGGTGCAAATGCGATGCAACCTATTTGTTCTGTACAGGTTACGAAGAAAGAGTTCCTTATGTGCATGGACTTGGTCTCTAAGGTTCATTGTTTTCCAGATTGCGTCGTCTTGCATGGTGGGAGAGGGCACGCAGGTTGGAGATAGGAGCAGCATAAAGAGAGCAGTCATTGGCAAGAAATGCAGGTCAGTTGAGAGGCTGTGTGAAAAGCGACAGATTTGGAACACCGACTGCTCAACTGCTGTGCATATGCGCTCTGCTGGTGGCTGGCAGGTATTTCGTCCCCGACTGAGGAAAGCTTCCGACCCTTGTGCATGTTTGCATATCAATTATCGTCGTACATTGCAGCTCGTGCGCATTTTGAGATTGCAGCGTTACGACCTTTGCTCCTCATGTTTTCGACAAACCGCTATTTTGGGGCTCTTTGCATTAAGGCCACAGCGAATGGCGACTTCACTCGGTCCACGTGGCCTCAAATGGCGGTTGTCCGCTGCAGCGACTCAAGCATCCGGAGCCGCTGGACTCCAGGAGCACTGAAGAGACACTCGCGTCACGGCTGGGACTGCGCCACATTTTCCTGGCACCATTACGCTTTCACTATTGCGTCGCATAAAAAGGCCACAGCGTTGCGTTACAATACGGAAGGGTGTTATTTACTAGGCAGAAGCAAACCAGCGTGTCCACGAAGTTGGCAACGTGCTTGTGTCGATGCTGCAGAATAGGCAACAACGTGAAGATAATCAACTCGGTCTTGCTCGATGGCGTGAAAGTGGGCGATAGTTGCCATGTCCAGAACTCGGTGATTGGGGCAGGCAGCATCATCGGGGACCAGGCAACTTTGAGGGACTGTCAGGTAGTGAGGACATTCCTGATAACCGTGGTGTGTACAATTGAAGGGCGAAAGAAACGTTGGGCCATGGCAATTACATGGCCTGGATATCCTGGTGTGTTGCAGCATTCTTTGTTTCATAGCTGTGGGCAGATTATCAGTGCTGATGAGGACTGCCACTGCGAGCAAGCTGAAGGCGCATGCAAATGTACGGAGAGTTTTGCCTTTCTGTTGGTGCCTTAAATTCTCCACTCATATCTGTCAACCTACAACATGTACCTATAGGTGTCCTTGTCGTAAAGCAGTTCTCTTCCACTGCGCCATGTCTGCCCAAAGGGCAGGTGGTCATGCGCATTGCATCAGGGATGTTGGACCTGGTTCTGAGAACTGAAGCACCCTGTTGCGCGGTGTGCAGGTTGGTCCTGATCAGACCATTCCCCATGAAGCTGAGTGCAGAGACGAAGTACTTCCCCGGCCACAGGAGTAATGTTTGGTGATCAGCTGCAGATGGCCTGATATCCCAGGTCGCTCGATTGATGGTGTAGTCACTTCAGCACCCATGTGATGAAGGCAGCTACAAATATCACAGACCATTAGTCAGCGCCCGTCAGGCCAGGTCCACCATATGTTCAAGCTATCACCGGGTTCTAGAGGAGGGGAGCGATGCCCGATGGGAGCAATTCCCTTCTAGTGGCCAACTTACACCTTCCTCAGCAGCGCAAAAACATCATAAACAACCATCATGTTGTAAATTATGGATGACGAACTAGACGCTGTTAGGGGTACCAATTAACATAGAAAGATAGCATTACAGAAACAGCCCCTTTAGCAGCACTCAGCTGGCGCCCCGTGAGGCCCAGAACAAGTGGCAAGTAGCCCAGAACTGGTCCAGGATGACTCAAAGCACCAACGACACCACCTTCCCAGTACCAGAATAGCGTCACAAGAGACCCAGGGCGCGCTGGGAAGCCACAGGACCTGCCAATATAGCCAGTGTAGGCTTGAAGCAGTCTGACAACACCTTCCAATGCCGCTGACAATGTACACAACCCCACGCAATACCATGGAAGCACCAGCGGGACACCGCTCACTGCAAAGTATTGGCACTCTACCCGTCACCCCTTTGCCGACTGGAACGGCTTGCAAGCCCATGCGCGTGCAGCAAGACCAGGCCCAATGTCTCAGAGGGACATGACGAGGAGCTCCACGTCAAAAAATTAGAGCAATGCCCAGTGATCACGTCGCACGACTGATGGCCAGCCGTGGGGCTGCGGGAGGCCCATCCCATCCATCTGGCCAGAATGCCGATCCCGGCAGCACAGACGAAATGTAGCCAAGGGGAAATACGGCTAAGGGAGAGGCCTTGCGGCCCGCCTGGATAGGATGCAAGCAGAAGGCAAGAATAGGGAATTCCCCAGGACTCCATGTGACCAGATATGGGGCACCGCGAACGGCCATGGGTAACGGAGCCGCACGGTCGATCTTCGCGCTCCGTAGGGAAAATAACCCAGCAGAACTATGGAGAGGGGGATTGGCTCCTGGTCTGCATAAGGAGTTTGATCGCAAGAGCACGGGGGAGTGAACGCATTGCTTTGGAAGGCCGGCGGGGCGCGGGGGTGAGCGGAGCTGGGAGGGCTGTGTCGGGGGAGCGAAAGGGTGTACTGCCGCTAGTTAACTCAACCTGGCACCCGTGGGGGTGCCGGGGGGCTAGTATTGGGCAGTGTCGGGGGTGTATCGGGCGTGTATCGGGCGCCATCAAGCGCGGCTTGCAGTTCGCAACCCTCTGATGGCCTGCTGAAAGAGTGAAAGAGCTGCAACATAGTTTTGCACCATATTTATGAACCCATTAACACTAATTTTAATCATTGTATTTCTCAGAGATTTTCCATATACTCAGTGGACAATTTGCAATGCATGGGTACCAATTTTGGGACTTTCTGATTAGTTCTGAATTAGTTAGATTTTTCATTCGGGGACCAAATTTGAGGCCCAAAGACCTAGCGGCTAAAGAGATACAGAAATTGTCATTTTAAAAATTGGATTTTAAGTGGGAAGCTAAGAGAAGAATAATCTCAAATTTGGGACATGTTAATACGCTTTGTCCCCTATCCAATGAGGGTAAGAACGTGTTATTTGGATATGGGTTTTTGCAGCTTGGCAATTCCTGGGCATATACAATATTGATAGTGGGAGTGTCATGTGGGTTGTTGGCTTGTCTGGAGCATCCAACATGGCCAACTCTTTGTCCTGTGTGGGTATGGACTCTCGGATGGCAAGGGTTGTGCATTGGCGCGGCCTTTCACAAATGCCTGAAGGGGCGAACGTTGACTCTTTTGTGAATGAGATCAAGGCGCACATGCAAGCATATTGAGAGACTCTTGGAGTGGAAGTGGAAGTTACCCTCGGTGATGGGACGATCCACTATGACCCTCAATAGAAGAGGCTGCGTGATATAAGGGATGTTTTGTAAGGAGAGTGGGTAGTTGCAGTTGAACATGATCGAGGGTTGTATGAAGTGGTTATGAACCTCTCAAAAGTTGTGCAAGCGACTCATGGAGTGAACGAAGCTCCTAAACTGGTTGCAGAATCAATTGCTCTGGACTTTGAACAGGTTGTGTACAAGGGAATGGTGAAGGCATGGACAGGAGCTGTCGGAGACATTGAAAAAGCAAGGTTTCGAGAGGAGACGAATGTTCCAGTGCGGCTCAGAGCACATCGAATCATCTAGGCGAGGGTGAAGGATATCGAGGAGGAAGTGAACAATGAATATTATGACCAAGAGAGGAAGGAGAGCATGGCTGTCTTCTAAACCAAAAAAAAGTTGTAGGCTCTTTTAAAAGAGCAAAGGGAGCTATGCGAGCTACCACTTGGTATGCCATCCCACCATGGCATGCTGCCCTGCATTATGGATGCAATAGTAGGCTTTTGAACGAGAGAACGAGAGCTGAATATGGCAAGAGCATTGCGGCAAATACGGTTGGAGATATGCCTATGGTTGTTGAATAGAACGAGGCCAGAATTGGTCGAGCAACCTCCCCAAGCTTTGCGGCGCCCTTGAGTCGGTCGGCTGGTTGCATTAAAAGCTAGTTTGGGAGTCGGGCAGGTAGGCTAGGGGGGACTGTGCATGCCCATCGGCCACCACGGTTGTTTGAAAGGGAGTCGCATTTCAAATGCATGACTGGACTTTGACAAGTGACGTGGTAATTAGGTAACTGTGTCTGACGCACTCACAACTATGTCGTCGGACTGGACTTGGCGAGTTGTACGCATGTGAAAGGAGGGGGTCGCTCTGGGTGTTGTGGGTTGTTTAGAATGTCAGCGGTCCCACCATGCCATTTGGCAAGAAATTTGTGTGGTGCGTGATGCAACATTATGTTGTCATGATGACATCCATTGCCTTGGCAGGGCAAGCTCAGGGAGCTTGCCTTGGAGAAATTGCAATTGGAACAAATTGAAGTGATGACCGAAGGGGGATGAAACTGGGTGGTCATGATCATGGAAGAGATTAGCTATCTTAAACATACTATGGGTATGTCTGACATGGCCATCTACGAGGCCAACACAGCTGTGTAGAGAATGATCGATGCTCTACAATTTATTTATGAATCAATGGCCCCCGGAAGCGAGGATGAGCAAGACGAGGGATGGATGCAATTCAAAGTATGGAAGGCCCTCTATGGCATCTTCACACAAGCGTACATGAAGAGAGAAAGGGCAAGGGTCAAGGGTGTCAAACCCAACAAAAATCATCAGCAGGTGGTGTCGAGGTGGTGCGAAGAGCATTTTGGGGGGTGGTTTCGTGGTTTGCAATTGAATTGTATGTGAATGACCGGAGTGTATTGTTGTGATGGAATTCCATTCCATGATTGGAGTTGGAGTGTCATCCTGGCATGGTGCAATTACTTGCAAAATGTTGTTACTACCACAGGTTATATAGGGGTGTTTCAAAAAAGTCATTTGCAAAAGACTTCACCTCAGACGGGTCCTTAGGGAACAAGTTATGATGCTATTTTGTGCGAAGGCCGCAGTTTGGATGGAGGGGGGGTGCCTCCCGTGAGACCTATTGTAGGGCGTGGAGAGAGGCGGTTAGGAGGGGCACGTGGAGGCGCCACATGGTTGTTTAATGGGAATATGGCACCTGCAATATTATGTGGTTGCTAACAGCTAGAAATGGGGCGTACTGGCGTGAATTGCAGTAACACAGCAGTGTGGTGGAAAGATTGCAGGGAATCAAGAATGTTGTTTTATATAGGGGGCATATTTCAAGCTTAGGGGAGGTTACAGGCACTAGGGGCGTGTGGAGAGCTGTGGGGGAGACTCTTGCACGGTTGCTTGGTCAATCATGAAAACTTCAAGGCAATTTGGCAAATTTTATCAAGCTTCTCTCCACTAGAGGTGGCCACTCAAATGTGCCATCCGGTCCGTTAAATCCGGTTCGTTAATTTTTATCAGCTGTCCGTTAAATTTCGTTAAAGAAAAAGGGAGAAAAATTCAGAAAAAACGAAAAAATCCAAAAAAATCCAAAAAAGTCGAAAAAAAACCCAAAAAATCACAACAACTGCGGCTAGTTGAAAATCTAGTATGCATAGGTTAAAATAAAATACAAACATACTCTCTAATAGCGAATTCCATAAACTATAAGTATGAAAAAAACCCAAAATCCCTAAAAAATCCAAAAATCCGCTAATTTTTGGTTAATTTTTGTCTTTTTTCGTTATTTTCCGTTAATTAACGGAAAATTAACGGAAATTAACCTCTGTCCGCTATTAACGGATCCGGGTGGCCGCCTCTACTCTCCACGTGCAAATGGGCTCTTACGAAGCGCACCACTCTACTGATGTGCAAAATACCTCAATGCAGTCAGCTTGACCATCAACGACACCACTGTGCATTAAACCGTACTCTTTTATTCTAGGCAAGTGATAAATCACCAAAACAACGCAGAGATAACCAGAAAAACGACTCATGGTAGTCGCTTGGCCATCACCAGCAATTCCAGACTGGTACACGGTTTTATGATGGGCAGAATAAGGCTCTACACATGGATGCTTAGTAGCCTATCCGCATGAAACAACTTGGATACCACAGCAGTGACGTGTGCATCATTTCTCACAACGAGCACCACACAACCGATACGTAGACCACTTAGATCAGGTTTATGAGACTACCAATATCACCATAAGCTGCCAACCGGTGCCTATTTCTGGCAGGCCAACATCAGCATCCTCAAAACAACCCTGAATTTGGCAAGACAATAACTCGCAAAGGTTGCCTGACCATTACAAACAGGTCCTGAGTGACCCACAACATGGCGAAGCACAGAACGACTTGTTGCACATCAAAGCCTCATAGATTGCCACACCAAAACGATATGCAAACCATAAAAATGACTTGCACACATTGCGCCAGGTGCCATGGTACCCGTTCAGGGCAGCACCACTTGGTGGATGTCCTTCGCTCGCTTGACAAGCCCGTCAGATGGGCGTT